ACTATTTAAAGACAGACAAACAGGAAGAAGCTCTCTCGGGGAAGCTAGGAGCACTGCAGGAGGTAAGATTTTATCTCTGAGCTCTGACCTCTCGGCTTTCTCTTTTACATTGGCTCTGTGTTTCTTATTTTAATAAGACGATTGGTTACATCTACAGAGATTAGATTCAGGGATCAAGTTCTGAAAAGAAAAAGGGGGGATATAGAAATGATAGGATAAAAGGGTAAAATATTGAGTCTACTTTAATCCAAAAAGCAACAACAACAATTAATCATACATATTTTACATTGATATGGATTTTGGTTTATTGATACAAATTTAAAGTTAATTTTGTTATAGTGTATGTTTATTTCTATTCTTACGATATTATGTTTATGCAGTTCAATTATATATATAATAAAGAAATACAGATTAATAGTCATCTATAATAGCAAACTCATAGTCATGTCAGGTTTTCATGGTCATATAGAGATTATTTCAGATAGGCAATCTTCAAACACTTCAAAGACCTACAGAATATAGCATTTAAAATGTTTTAAGAACTTAAGACTTTTCTCAACAGTGAGACATGTCTGCTCCTGGCAGCACCAATTACTTCAAAGAGGATGATGGGCATCAAAGAAACTCCATATGGAGTTTGTTTTCTTTATGGCAAAAGCTAGCCATGCTTCAACTGCTGACAGTTACTGTCCAAACTGGACCAGCAGGACACAAGAAAGGTGACTGCTGAACTTTGACAAGATAATGTAGGAAAGTACTTCAAAATTCCCTGCTTCATGAGAGAGATACCATGATGGAAGGAGATATCATGGAAATAGAGAGAAACCTGTTGCTAGGGAAGTTGCCAGGAATCCCCAAGGATGACCCCAGCTTGGACTACTAGAAATAGTGAAGAGGGTGCCTGAACTGAACTCCAATGACTGATGGAGGCAGATGCAGAGATCCACAGCCAAACACCAGGCAGAGCTCCAGGAGTCCAGTCGGAGGGAGAGAGGAGGGATTCTATGAGCAAATGCATCAGGATCATGATGGGGTAACCTGCAGAGACAACCAAACCAATCTAGTGAGAAACTCATAAGAGTTGGATCAAGGGCTGTGGAGCCTGCATGGAACTGGACTAGGTCCTCTGCATGGTGAGACAATTGTGTAGCTTGATCTGCTTGGGGTGACCTCTGGCGGTAGAATCAGAATCCATCCCTGGTGCATGAGGGGGCTTGCTGTGGGATAATGTTTTTGTACACTGGTTTAATAAAACGCTGATTGGCCAGTAGCCAGACAGGATGTATAAGCAGGATAAGCAGACAAGGAAAATTCTGGGAAGAGAAAGGCTGAGTGAGGAGACACCAGCCCACTGTCCAGGGAACAGCATGTAATGGCACATAAGTAAAGCCACAGAACAAATGGCGACATATAGATTAACAAAAATGGGCTAAGTTTAAGTGTAAGAGCTAGTCAGTGGCAGGCCTGAGGTAATGGCCAAGCAGTTTTAATTAATATAAGCCTCTGTGTGTTTACTTGGGTCTGAGCAGCTGCGGACCGTGGGGCTGCAGGAGCCAGGCAGGACCAGGAAAACTTTCAACTACAGGGGCTTTTGGAGCCCACTACTTATGATGGGACACCTTGTGCAGCCGTGAGGCAGGGGGAAGGGCTTGTATTTGCCTCTATGGGAAGTGCCTCTCCATGGGAGGCCTTGCTTTCTTGTGGGGGGAGTGGGAGGTGGGTTGGGGGGGGAGGAGCTGGGAGGGCAGGAAGAGAGGGATCTTTGATTGGTGTGTAAAATGAATGAAAAAAATTTCTTAATTAAAAAAAAAAAAATTCCCTGCTTCACAGGAAAGTCTGTCAGATATACTAGGCCTGTAGGCCAGAATTGGATGCCCTGACATTACAGAGAAACTTTGGGTGACTGTCCAGGCACCCTGATGTCCCTGTCATTAGGTAACACTTCATACTTCTAGGATCTCTGGTGGAGTTGAAGACTAGATAGCTATAGTTATAGTTTTCCTTGTTAACAAATTCAGAAAAGAAATTCACAAAAGAGGTGTAAAGTGTATAAAGTCCAGAGACATAAAAAGATAGTTTTATTTTTGGTTGTGAGCCTAGCTTTTAATCTCAGCACTTGGGAGACAGAGGCAGGCAGATCTTTGTGAGTTTGAGGCCAGCCTGGTCTACAGAGCAAGATCCAGGAAAGGCGCAAAGCTACACAGAGAAACCCTGTCTCAAAAAAACCAAAAAAAGATTGGTAATGCAAGTCAGGATAGAAAGTAAAAACAGATACAAAACTTTGGTCTCATAACGATAAGATAGATAATAGAGCATGTTCTCTAATTTTGCCAAACACAAATAGACTGGATATTGTAACTGTAATTCTTAACTGATAACTGTTTTTTGTTGTGTATAACAGTACTATGTTAAAGATAAAACCTTCCTTTAGCCGGGCGGTGGTGGCGCACGCCTTTAATCCCAGCACTCGGGAGGCAGAGCCAGGCGGATCTCTGTGAGTTCGAGGCCAGCCTGGGC